CGTACGGGTGCGAATTCGATGCATAAGAAGTAAGTGCTCCTTGCAGAGTGATATTTGGTGTGGGTCCTTCTGCGTAGCCTTCGGGAGATCCACGCAGATTGATGTCTGCTGCTTGCATGGCTCAGCTCAGGTTCCCACCTCCTTTAGAAGTAATCATTATACCTTCGCGTCCTGATATCGGGCAAACCTCACTGCCCAAACTCCCCGATTACATTCACAGGGGGATACCTTTCCCGGTTGCCGCTACTCAGTCCCTTCGTTTCAATGAGAGGAAGCCCTGCAAGGGAAACCCACCATGAACTTTTTCTGTGAGTGAAGCTTACTCAAGCAGGGTCCTGCGTTCAGTTGCTTCAGGAATCCTCTTTCCGTCCTTGCCCAGGGGTACATAAATTCGTACCGACAGACGGAGGGAGCGAGACTTCGTAGTAGAGTAGGTGATCTATAGCTTTTGGGTTTGATGTTATTCCTGTGTAATGTCATCCCGAAGGTGAACCTTTAGTCGTTCGCCTAGGATACTGGGCACGTAAGGAGAGAGAGAGAGAGAGAGCGAGAGAGAGAGAGAGAGAGAGACAGAGAGAAATAGATAGAGAGAGTGAGAGAGAGTTAGAGAGAGAGAGAGAGAGAGAGAGAGAGGGAGATAGGGAGATAGGGAGAGGGAGAGGACGCTCCAGCGCCGCTCCTGCCCCGGGTTTCAGCATGCCCATGAGGCCTGGCTTTTTGAGGGCGCGTGGCTCTTGAGTTTCGGCTTTGGGCATAGGGGGGAAGTAGCTAAGTATACTGCAATATAGGGTTTAGAAGTTTAGGGTTTAGGTGCAATATACTGTATGAAGCTAGAAAGAACTCTTATCTACTGAACTGACCCGGGGTTTTCTCGAGAAGACACCCTAGATCTGGCGAGCAAAGGTGTCGCGGTCTTCTTTCACAGGCATAGCAAATGGTATCCTAAGGCCTTCTTTGAGAGAGAGAGGAGAGGCTTCAGGCTTACATAAGGTGTACACATACCGACTACAGAGGTCGGAAGAATCCCCAGCTCCTTTGTCTTTGGGGTTCCGCAGTAGCCTTAAGATACTATTCTTCCAGCCACAGGCCCCAGTCTCATCTGACGTTAGGTAAGGTAGCTCTCCATCCTTCTGCAGTGTAGCCTAAACCATCCTAGACCTGGTGTGAGCCCGGGCAGTGGAGTTCTAGTATTACTAGAGTGAACTATAGTACAGTATAGTGTATTATAGTAGAGTATAATATATCATAGTATATTATGGTATGGTATAGTATAATATAGCATAGTATAGTATAGTATGTTACAGTATATCATAGTAGCGTATAGTGATCTATAGTACCGGGTTTCCCACCCTGGCCCAGTCTACTTGACTTTTCCCCGCAGGCTTCCGGGACGCAGGTGGGGTTGACTTTCCCCGGGAGCGAAGCAAGTACATGTGAGAGTGTGCGAGAATCAAGGAGCCCGTTTTCGGGGTTCAGGCGTTTAGGGTTCAAAGTTTACCCTAAACCCTAAGCCCTAAACCCCTAAACCCCTAAACCTTAAACCAACAAGGGTTTACCCGAACTGTAAGCAGGTCGAAGGATGATGTGCTTCTAGAAGAGATCCGCTACTTACGTCAGCTGCTGACCGACAGCAACGAGGAGAAGCGGATCCAGGCCGATGCACTCAGACTCCCACCTGTTTTGTGCACGATAAAGTTTCCAGCTACACCACCCTAGCATGAACCCTCATATGAAAGGACGAGGGCAAAAGACGCCACAAGAAGAGCGAGCAGCGACATGCATGTTTGGCCAGTGCGGTGCCCGCATCCTCTGGGGTCCACACCTCATTTTTGGAGTCTGAGGATTTCCGCCTGAGGGTTTTGAGGCTCTTGTGCTTCTCCCCTGCAAGGTGGCCATTGTCCGTGACGAAGTTTCCGAGAAGCAGCGCACCATTGATGAACTCAGACAGCAAGCGGCTGTTGCCGAGGCGCAGCGATTACCATTTTGGCGACCCCTCCATACACCAAGGGTCGCATTATTGGCATCACCTCACCCATGCCTCGCAGACTCCTTCTCCTCCTCCTCCTCACCAGCAGCATCAGCATCATTATCGGCATCATCATCATCATCATCATCGTCATCGTCGTCGTCGTCATCCTCATCGCCATCATCATAACCATCATCGTCTTCATCTTCATCTTCGTCTTCATCATCATCATCGTCATCGTCATCATCATTTGCCGTTTGAGCTTCATCTTTCGAAAAGTCTGACTGCATCGCATCCGCGATCGTAGAGTGCTTCCGAGTCGATTCAGGATCCTCGGGTGAGTGAGTGCCAAACCATTGGATACCGTGAACAGTTGCTCCTCGCAGGCATCCCCACCGCCAGCCTGAATCCTGTCAGTTTTCGTTGCACTGGAAGGGCCGTTGAAGTGCAGCTTGTTGTCTCGGCTTATTTGTAGTCATTCCGGTTGTCATGATGAGAGGACAGGGAGCCAGTGGACAGAAATCCAGCAGCTTCCAGCTGACCAACTTGTTCCAGCAGTGTTGCAGAGCTAGCTGTCCTGGGAGATTTAGCATTACACTGCTTTACACAACGTCTTACCTCCTAGATGGAGCAAAGAGCCCATGTGCGGACAGTGGAGGGGATGCGGCAAGTCGTCAGTTCCTTCGGGTGAGGGTCGAGGCTTTCCCACGTAAGCCCATGGCAGCTCAAAGAACTCCTCATTCACATTCCCAAAGCCCTTTGACCCGAAATCAGCTTTTTATAAAACATAAAATAATAATGTTCCCATTCCTAAAGCCCTTTTGGCCCGAAATCAGCTTTGGGTTCCCGGCTCTCCGGTGCAGGCGACGCTCTCGGCGGTGCGGCAGCAGCTGAGCGGAGGCGCCAGGTCTTCAGTACCGAGACTTCCTGGCTTATAGGGTTTAGGGCTTGTAGGGTTTTAGGGTTTAGGGTTTTAGGGTTTGGGTTTAGGGCTTGTAGGGTTTTAGGGTTTGGGGTTTTAGGGTTTGGGTTTAGGGCGTTTAGGGTGTGGGGGTTGAGACTTCCTGGCTCCTGTGTGACTGGGTGTTGGGATGGATTGAGGATGCATCATACTTCCTCCGCGCTCCATGCTAGTTTTTTTCTTGTTCTTTGCATATTCTGACTGCCAGCGTTACCGATGTGCCTGGCTCGCTGGCTGTTAATGCCCTCTGAAGTGCTGTCAGGTTGTTTCAAGCTGCCGGGGTCTTGTTCCAGGGTGCTGCTTCTTTGCAGCTAGGTGCTTCAGCCCCACAGGCTGCCGGAGCAAAAGGAAGCTGGGACAATCCTAGCCCTAGACATCCCTAGACCATCAAGGCTCACCGACCAGTCTGAGCAGGGGTCATGTTAAGCGGATCCATGTCCCCCCTTCAGCCCTTAGCCCTACCCCGCCCCCCTTGTGCGAAAAAAAGACCTCCGTCAATGACCCGAGCGCCTCAAGCCTAAGTCAAAGCTCAGATCCCGGCATTACAACATCCCAACTCTGCCAAAGAACTTTTCGATCACCTCTGTGAGCCCCCCTTTTTAGAGTTGCAAGATAGGGTTGCTGTTGGCCTCGGGGAGTACTCTGCGACCTGGGAACCCCACGGTCAGACAAGGGTCTCTTGGGGTTTGGGGGTGTGGTACACATGAGTTCTGTAGGGGACGATCTGGGGGGGGGGGGGGGGGGGGAGAGTATAACTACCTATTCTTCCGACCCGCTGTTTTTTCCTGACGCCTTGCCACAAAGCCTGATCTCTGATCTGGCACTGTATCAGAGCCCTTAGTGAAGCAGGTGCGTAATAGTACATCTTAGTCCACGGTTTTGGGTTTAGGGCTTGCATGTTCAAGCGATTGCACGACTCCTGATGCGTTTCGACATCCGGATATCGCACTCTTGCGTCCTCCTTTTCGCAGCCTCTTGAGTCATTGAGGATGCTTGTGCTTTACCGGGCTGTGTGCAGATGTATCGAAAGTTCCTAAAGCCTAAACCGCAGAATGCCGAAACCCAGCAGGGATGCTGATATCTCTGTTCTGTTCTCTCTGACTTAACCCCGCAATGCCGGCTCGTCCTGGCTAGTAGGGGGGCCTTAACCCCGCAATGCCGGCTCGTCCTGGCTAGTAGGGGGGCCAAAACAGCCATGCCTGCGAGTCCTGAGTCCTGCGAGTCGAAATCCCACACCCGAAACCCTAAACATCCCTAAACCCTAAACCCCTAAACCCCTAAACCCCTAAACCCCTAAACTCCCTAAACCCCTAAACCCTAAACCCTGAGCTTGAAGCTTTTTTTGGGGGGGTTCTCGTTCCTTAAAGCTTCTACGGTGCCGGCAGAGAACACAGAGGGCCGGGGGTTGGCATGCAATGTCGTGGGTGTTATTTTCGGTGTACTAGTAGCGCAGAGCATGCCAACCTGAATGCTATCATGGCGAAATGCTTCGAAGTTACTCTCAGGGTTCAGGGTTTTACGAGCCCAGATTGAAGAAGCCTTTGTTTCTGGTGGTTTTGCGGGTTTAGGGTTTATGGCTTCACTACAACGCCCGGTTGTGCCTGGGAGCGCTGAGGTTGGAAAACCCAATGCCGAAAGCCGTCAGCTGGAGGCAGCATTGAAGCTTCCGGCGGGTTGCAATCGCGCGGATTGTTGGGTTTCCAAAAAGCCTAAGGGCAAGCAGTAATGAGTGCACGGTGCAGGTGGGCAGTGCAGTTTCCGCTTTCGATTTTGCTACATTTGTGTTTCTGGATGTGGTGTTCATGATCAGGCTTGCCCCCCAAACTAAACTATGGGAGCCCAAAGATCAGGCAGGGTCCATAGTGATATTCTGAACGTGTTAGCCATGTCGTGCCGCAGCAGCTGTTCGAAACGACTATCTTGCTGGGCTTGCTATGCCGGAAGGTCAGGTAAGTCCTTGGAAGTCCTTTAAGTAGCAAGCAGCAGTTACTGCGCCGAAAAAAGTCCAAGATATGCCAAAGTCCAAGGGATCCCAAGTCTTCTAACCTTCTCGCAATCCCTCGCCAAAAGCTCATGGCACACATCCCGGAGCCTCGGGTAGAGGCCGCTGAGGAGCCCCAGGGGCTCAAAGAGGACGCCGCTGGGCCCGAAGCAGAGCCGCCGACTTCAGAAGAAGAGCTCCGGGCCTCGAAGTCCCCAGAGGAGCCCCTGGAGGAGTCCCTCGATGCCCCAGTGGCAGAGGCCGACCCCTCGCCGAGGGCGCTGGAGAGTGAAAGCAAGGGAAGCTTCATGGCCACTGCGCCTGGGTTCTTGTTAAGGGATTTAGTTTAAGTTACCATAATAAGGAAACCCTATTATTAGGGATTTAATTAAAGCTACCATTATATACCATAGATCCCGATTATGGTAACTTAACTTTAACTCCCTGAACAAGAGCCCAGGCGCTTCAGCCGGAGCAGGGCTATACCAGCGACCTAAGCAAGCTCCCGGCGTCGAACACAGGCTACAGCTACCCACAGTTTGTGGAGCGCTTCAAGGACCAATCCGGTATTTCAAGAAGATCCTCTTAGAGTCCTACGTAGCTATACTTATACTGTCGCAGATTATATACTAGTTACTAATATACTGCAACATGCTATACCACCCTAGCCCTAGCCCTAGCCCTGGTCCAACTTTCCAGGCCCCTCGATGCAAGGACCAATCGGCACAGCCCGTGGTGAACGAAGTTCGGGACTTCGTGAACCGCTTCCCGGCGAACCTCACACGCTTGCAGGCTGCACGCCGGATCCATGCTTTCCTGGCGGAGGCCCGGGGCTCCCCCGGGTTTAGGGAATGAGGGTTTTAGGGGTTTATAGGGTTTAAGGAGTTTAAGGAGATAGGCGTTATATAAGGGTTGCTGGACAACGAGGCCTGTTGCAGAAGGGGCTAAGGGTTTAGGGCAGTTTAGGGGTTCAGGGCTGCCTTGGCGCGATGAGGCTGTTTTCTGTCACTTTCCTCGGCTGACTTCCCAAGCCCGGATGCAAAAAAAGGGTTTAGGAAGGCTGTCAATCAAGATGAACTCTAAACCCTAAACTTAGGCCCTAAACCCTAAACCCTACGTGGTCTGGCTAGACTTGCATCCAGAAGGAACAGGCCGTTTGTCATTCCCACACCACCTAGAAAGCAGATCCCCATTGATGCTCACAAAGTCACCGTTCGTCTTTCTGGATCCGGTTGTTATACAGCTACAAGAACCTCTAGATGAGAGGAGGATCTTCATTGTCGATTTCTCCATCTGTCTTTCTATATACGTATCCATCTATCTGCCTATCTGTCTATCTATCTATCTGCCTGTCTATCTATCGATACCCGTATGAGTAGTTCTCTAAATTGGGGTCTTTTTTTCGGCCCACCAAATTTAGTACGGCACCCTTGTGAAAAAGGACCCTAGACGGGGCCCTAATTTAGAGAACCACCCATATCGGCATCCAGGTGCAAATGACTAGAGGAGCTTTCAGGGTGTGTGGAGTGCCTTCACTCAGGGCCTGGGGTTCCTTGAGACTGTTCCTTGAGACTCGGGACTGCCCAAGGCAGCTTCTGCAGGGTTTATACGGGGTACTAGGGGTTTAGGGTATACAGTCTAGGACATTTTCAGGTGGGTAGTTACCGTCATAGGAGTCAAGAAGCTTTCAGGTGACGCCGAAGCTTCTGGCGGCGAAAGCCTTCCGGGATGGTGGGGAGAATATCGCCTCAGAGCTTGCGAATGAAGGCTTGGAGAAGTTTGTGGCTCCTTGGTCCAGAAATGCAATGCCATGCAATGCCCATAATTCCCCAAACCCTAAACCCATTGTGTTTATGAGGCGAAAAAGCGCCGCCTTGTAATGATGGGGAACCTATAGCTCTTCGTGCCCTTAAGAACCCGTAGAGAGCCCTCCCAGAAACCCCCCAATGGAGTCCCGATGGGAAACACTGCAACAGCCGCCTCGAGCCCTGTTTGTGGATTTAAGGGGATGCTTGGGGAGAAGCCGAGGTCCTGAAGCTGTACAAGTTGCTCTTCCGCCACGATCCTGCCGACATCCGGGAGGACGAGAGAGTGGAGCAGGCACTTCGAAGTGCAGCCAAGGGGGCGAGCGCGAACCAAGCAGCCGTCTCCAAGTTCGACGCCAAGCAGCTCGAGGTCTTCGATGCTGCGGTGCTGGAGCTGCAGATGGTGGAGCAGCACAGGGCGCCAAGAGATAAGCTGAGCTGCTTCGTGAATGCCATCCGGCTCCTCGAGAGCATCGTGGTGGAGCGCGTCTTCCGGCAAAGAGGAGAGGGCCAGCAGACGAACTGGGAGCAGCTGTTGGCTGCACTGATTTTGAAGGCTTCACCCCCAAATCTCTATTCCAATCTGGAGTTTACTGCAGCTTTCAGACATCCATCGCTCATGGGCCCCGATGAACGGAAAGCCCTTGCCGACCTGGCCAGCGCGTTCCTCGCAGTCATCGGCGGCAGCTCCCGGCGCCTTGCTTCCGCTGAGCTCGCCGAGAACTCGGTGGGACAGTCTGGCTCTATGCCCTTGTGGCTGATGGATGCTGGTGTCACTTTCAACTTTTCCGACCGCTCCTCTGATGACCTCTCCCTGGGAGAGGTGGACGAACTCTTGGACGAGTACCAGAGGATGATTCGTGCCATACGAGACCTCATCTCCCCTTAGGCCTCAGACAACTCTTGGAGAGAGGCGCCTTCAAAAAGGTGTGGTTCGGGCGAGGGGACGAATCCCGACAGTTCCCATGGCATGAATGTCCTGAAAGACACCGGCCATAGCTTAGCGTGCATAGTAGAGAGATCAGCAGACGGAGAGATGGGCCTAGACGGATGGGCATCTGTCCATGCCGCGCGGATTGAACATGCGGCCTGTTGTAGACTCACGTAGGTCTCGGCTTGAACTCAGACTGAGATAGACAAACAGAGAGAGAGAGAGAGAGAGAGAGAGAGAGAGAGACAGAGAGAGAGAGACAGAGAGAGAGAGACAAAGAGAGAGAGACAGAGAGAGATACAGAGAGAGAGACAGAGAGAGACAGAGAGACAAAGAGACNNGAGAGGGAGAGAGCGAGAGAGAGAGGGAACAAACTACAGAGGACCGAGGGCGAGAAGTCAGGAGTAAGAGAGACAGCTGATCTCCCAGTGCCAGACTTGGAGCCTTAAACCTCGAGTTCTGAGAGGGTAAACCTCGAACCTCCGGTTAGCCCTCAACACCACATGCTGATGCAGGTTGAGCTGCAAGAGGCAAGGGAGCAGGCGCAGCACACATTCAGGGCGGGGGGGGGGGGCCTCGGCTTAGGGTTTCAAGGCTTTGGGGCTTTGGACTGGGGTTTGGGATAACTTTCCGAAAATTCGGGTACCTTATTTTGGGGTCCTTATAATAAGGATCCTACTATTTAGGGTACTACATTAGGGTCCCCATTTACTTTCGACTACCAGGGTCTTACGCCTGAGCAAAGGCCCTTAATGATGCACTTGGCCTTCTGGTCTTCCCGAGCTGCACCCCTGGGAGAAACCTGAAACAGTAAGTTCCTCAATGCAAGGCCGACGTTGCAATGTTTGTCTATGCACATAAAACAATCTTAGGAATAATGCAGAAAGGTACACACACATATATACAATATATACATGTGCATTCGTCGATACGTACGAAGGTACCTACACCCTACAGACATGCATGCATGCGGACAACGCAACCCCCCGCACGCACATGACATGCGAGCAAAACTGATTAAGGTACACACACACACACATGTGCGCGCGAACGCAAACACAGACACACACACACACACACAGACAACCAGCTACACATCGTGTGTGTGTGTGTGTGTGCGTGCGCGCGCGTGTGTGTGTGTGTGTGGGTGTGTGTGTGTGTGTGAGAGTGTGTGTGTGTGTGTGTGTTTGTATAATTTGCATACGAATGTGTACGTGTACATCAGCATATGCGTGTAAAAATACCCACACACACATATGTTTGCACAGACATAGGTATACATCCCTCGTACCATTTCGTCCTTCACACACGTACACTTCGCCTACGCTCACTAGATCATGACATGTCCCTTTCATGCCACGAGGCTGCAGAGCTGCAGCACCGCTGTACGGATCCGAGCTACGTGCTTATTTCTTTGGGCTTTCAGTTTAGGGTCAGTCAGTTGTGATTACTTGATTTTTGTGGGGGGGTGTTTCCGAAGAAGAGGGAGGTATTCTGATGAGGGTGTGTACAGGCTTGTTTGCGCAGCCATTCTCCAACCTCTCCTGACGCGGGATCCACTACCATACTCAATCCGAGACCCAAAGAGCTAACGAGTGTGAAGGATTGTGACGAAGTAACGTTAACCCCCCCTATGTCAGAAACCCCGTAAGACCACACCTAAAGTCTCAACCCCTGAACCCACAAATAACTATGAAGAACCTAGAACCTTCGGCCGCAGGACCTCGAAGTTCTCGTATAGATCTCGGAATATCTTCATACGAGGGTTTACGGCTTCTGACAAAAAAAACCCAATAGCCTCGATCCTTATGACGAATGTATAGGGAATCCCAGCACACATCGCCCTTAATCAGGTTTCCAGCTTTCTGGGGTTAACTATAAAGTGTTTGTGGGTTCCCTCAGCAGCATCAGCTTCAGACGTCCAGGTGCCAGGCTGGAGATGGAGAAGGAGGAGCGCGAGGCCTGGGAGTGAAAGAGAACCCTGGATGATTTTCGAGGTGTCCTTCTTCTTATGGGGTTGTAGGCTTCAGCTGCAGTGTCTAACCTGCACTCTACTCTGTTTTTGCTACTCTGATTCATCCGGGTGGCAACGTCTTGCAAACTCAAAGTTCGCAACCCTACAACCCCATAGGACCCTTAAGCAAACAAAAATGCGTCACAGATCTTGTAAAGCCCTCAAGAAGCTGCATTTCCGCCGATTCTCTCAAAGCTTCATGCCGACCCTCAGGGATCTAGGGATTAGAGTAGTAGTTTATGGGGTATGTACGGTATGTCAGTTGAGGGGACCCTTAAAAACAGAAACCTTTGCATAAGACCTTCAATTAAAGCAAGCCGGAAAGCCTGACGAACACTTAACAGAGCCCTTGGAATTCAAGGAACTCTTCAAGACATCAAGGAGCGCCTACAGGACCCCTGGGCGAACCCAAACCTTAAGGCCATAAGCTTCAGCCGGCTAATTCCGTTTGTCGTAGGGCTAGACGCCGCTAGTGGACTTTGCTTGGTACATGCCTCCGTCGATTAAGGTATGAACCTTTGGCGATCGGGCCTGTTTCAAAAATGTCATCTTATCTTATATGTAAATTTTCGGGTTTGTTAGTTACCTCTCCATGGTGTAGGACTGATCGCCAGCTCTTGGTGCGATGGTTGAAGTGCTGATCGAGAGACCTCGTCTGGCGAAGTCCGAGTTGAGAGAGCCATAAGTAGCCCCAAAGCCCAACATCCTAGAAGGAAGAATTTAGGGCAACTTAAATGGAGCCCTACAACACCCTCAACCCTAAACCCGCCCCCAAGGTCAACCATCGTCAAACCCCTCAAACCCAAAGTTGCAGGCCGAGCATCTGAAGCTTCGCGGAAGGCTGGGTTTCTGGGAGGCCCCCCGGCGCAGCACTGGTCCCAAACCCTAAACCCCAAACCCTATATAAACTTAAACCCTAAATTAGGGTTTAGGGGATTTTGGGGTTAAGGGTTTAGGCCTTAGGATTTAGGGTTTAGAGGTCTAGGGTCTCTTTCAGATTTGAGGGCTTCCGGGGGGTTTTAGGATTCCTTGAAGGCTGCTTAGGGTTTAGGGTTTAGGGTTTAGGGTACATGGATAGCCAATAAGGGCTCCTTGCGGTGGTCCCTGAGAGTTGCTGGCCTGATGCGTTTTTGTATCCGACATCCTGACAAGGGTGAGGCAACGACCTCGCAACGACCTCGCAGACCCTAGGGGTTAGAGTTTTTAGGAGTTTAGGGCTTACGATACTAGGGACTATAGGGTTTGGGGCTTACGATAGCAAAGCCCAGTACTGGTCTCGAAGATGGCGTGTTCCGGTGCAGAGGCGGGCTGGCGTAGTGGGTCATCGAGGTCCAGGGGCTTTAGTAAACTCCATCCGCAGTTGGCGCTGCGGCCCGTGCCTCCAGTTTAGGTATAGTAGAGTATAGCAAAGTGTAGTATAGAATAGCAAAGTATAGTATGAGGTATTTGCGGTTTGGGTTTAAGGCTTAGGGAGTTTCGGCGCATCCCTCGGCTGTCCGATGGATTCATTTATCAAACGCGGCACTTTTGTGCTTTAGATCCAAGGGGCATATGCATGTGTTGTTTCGGATCCCTCACTAAGAAGGATCCGGACTATATGACGAAGATACTGAAAAGCTCAAATCCTGGTCGTCACTTGCTGTTGAGGCTTTAATTTTGAATGGGCTCAAAGAGGGTCTTCTTAGGGTTCTGTATGACGTCTAGGGTGTAGGATGTGAGGCTGTTGGTCTTGAGTTTAGGTGCAGCGTTGTGAATATGGAGCTGCGGCGTTCTACCAATGGTCTGTAGTTGTGCAGATGGTTTTCATGTAGAAATGGCAGTTTACGTCAGTAAACGAAATACCTACATGCATATATATATATATATTGATTGTTACAAATAGGTGTGCATGTACACATGTATAAACACGTATGTATATAGGTGTATGTCTATGTAACCTAATGTACCCGTATATCCGTCTCATGTGCATATGTATCTGTCCATGGTTATGCATGCAGAAGTCTTTCAAAGACGGCCAAGAGCCGTGGCTTCTGTGGGCCTAGCTGGTTGAAGAGGTTGAGGGTTTTTAGGGTTTCTTATCTTAAACCCCATAGAGCTTCAGAAAGGGCTGCGACGGTGCAAGGATCGGAACTCGAATTTGGGAGGGAAGTTCTTGGCATTTGGCTTCTGATATTGAGCCAACCACGAAACCATGAAGCCCCAAAGCCCTGACCCTCATGCCGTAAAGCTTTAATCAGGTGGAACTATCGACCTGAGTTTGATGGGGTGGTCGGAATCCTATTGAGCCTGTTGTTTGTAGGGCATCTGAGGCAGCAATGCGCGTAAGCGAAGCCCCACCATAACCATTCTGAGTCGCATCCTAGTCAGCCATTCATGTTCCAGCGACTTCTGCCGAAGCTGCTGGGCCAGTTTCGAACAGGCCTCCATCGAATCTCTGGCAGAGATCACCAAGGAGTTCGCATCTCAGATCACACCATCTGGACTTTGTGGTTAACCCTTCGCACCGCGGCATGCTAGATTCGGGCAGGACGCTGTTCTGCAGATCGTCGCAGTCACAACGTACCCATAAACGCTTGTTCACAGCATATATATATATCTCTCTCTCTCTCTATATATATACACTGCTTTCTTGCTTGAAGGAACATTCAAGGTTCCATCCCCCAGAGGAAGCGTACAAGGCCCCTAAGGAGCCCCACGAGCAGCCCTGACTTCCCCGACTCGCACGGACGCCGGGCGTCGTTCTTTCACCATCTGTGTGCACCATCATTTTCTGTGGTTTAGGGCTCATAGGGTTTAGGGTCATTTTTTGTGATTTAGGGTCATTTTCTGTTGATGCGCAAGGCTTTCACCGGCATGAGCCCCCAAGTCCCCAGTCCCGCCCTCATTGAGCCCTCATTGACCTGAACCTGGAAAATTCTGGAGAAGCCCATGGATATACCCAATAAACTCAGAAACCCGGTCCTAGACCCTGAGCCCTTAGCAAGACATCATGCCGACATTCGTCAGCCTGGCAGCTAAGGCGGACACTATATTTTGGCGTCAAATCCTTATACTGAACCAGAACTAATATGACTTTCACATATTCCGGTTTCTTTGTTATTATTCTAGTATCCAGAATAACGCCTTTTCCCAATTTGTTTGGAAAGGGACACCAACAAGCCCTCACGAGATCCGACACAAAGACCCTATAAGACCCTTCCGAAACTGATCCCTAAACCCTAATCCCTAATCCCTGAACCCGAAACCCTAAACGAAGGAGTGCATATCTGTGGAAGCGCTGAAGGTCCGCAGTCGTCGCCTGGGAGGAAGACTTCCGCGAGGTGCGGCGGACTTCAGCTGAGCTCCGGTTTTGAAGGGTCCAGGGTTTTCGGAGTGTAGGGTTTAGGGTTTTCGGAGTCTAGGGTTTAGGGTTTTCGGAGTTTAGGGTTTAGGGTTTTCGGAGTCTAGGGTTTAGGGTTTTCGGAGTTTAGGGTTTAAGGTTTTCGGAGTCTAGGGTTTAGGGTTTTCGGAGTTTAGGGTTTAGGGTTTTCGGAGTCTAGGGTTTAGGGTTTAGGGCTGAGAAAGAGAGAGAGAGAGAGAGAGAGAGAGAGAGGGAGGAACAGAATGCTGCGTCTGTAACATATCCAATATGTGAACATGGCATGGCTAGTGTAGTCAGCATAGTTGCACAGATGTACCTGTAGATACATGCATCCATCCTTGCATGCAACCATACATGCAGGAGAGCAGAAGCCTGAGATCATGAAAACGGCGAGTCACCCTGGCCGGCACCGGCATGCAGTGAAGATAATAGGCAAGTTGCCCTATGCGTAAAAAAAATTGCACAGAGTGTAGTGCATGAGTACGGGCGCTGGGCACACACCGCTAAACCCTTGAGACCCTATACCAAAATCCCATAAAATGCCCTTGAACACAGAGAGGCTCAAGGGCGGTGGAGAGAGGGAGATCTCTCCTTTTGTGGCGACCATGGTGGGATTAAGCCCCGGATCGTCAGTGAGGGCGTGGCTATGGCTGCTGGCGCTTGGCCAGCTGCAGCCGGGCAACTGCCAGATCCTTGTTCTTTTTGATGGGTTACAATGGGTTAAGGGTTCTTGCTGAGGAGCTGCATCACAGTTTTTAAAATTTTTTGTAATTTTGTAGTAGGGTTTTATTGCCGTTTCGTGATTTGTTTCGAAGTGAGGGTTCTTGCTCTGAAGTTGATCTTGAGCTCATAGGAAGGGAAGCAGCTTGCCTGCGTCATATCCGAGTTTTACCTGAAGTTTGGTAAAGTTCCTCAAGAAGTGCCCAGGATCAGGGTGATCACGCCGCCGGAGCTCCTTGCGAAGCTTCATAAGACCCATGGTAGGATCTCGGGATCCACGGCCACCTTCGGAGCTCCCTTCTATGGTGACACTGTGAAGGGTCGGCTGGTTTATGGCATCTCGAAGAACAAGGATAACCACTGCACCCCGCAGGACTACGATGTCCCGAAACCCGAGACTTTCGAGACAGAAGGCAGCACGCACTACCAGAAGGTGAAGCTCCTAAACATCATTATCGTGCGTCGGGGGAAATGCTCGTTCACCACGAAGGTTAAGGTGGCTCAAGACAAGGGCGCCCACGCAGTAATCATTGTGGATCGCGAGGACTCTTCCTATACAGCCGAGGGCCTTGCGAACATAATCGTTGCTGACGATGGCTATGGCAGCGGCGTGCACATTCCCTCTATCCTGATCTCGAAGGATGACGGGCAGCAGCTCATCAATACGGTCCAGTCCACAGAGGTAGTCATCGAGTTAGCATGGAATGTGCCAACCGATCACGTCGTCACCATGGACATGTGGATGAGCTCGGGCTCCAGTGAGTCCATGCAGTTCATCAAGGACTTCGCCCCTAAACGAAAGGAACTCAATCAGGTGATGATTTTCAACCCACACTATGCCGTCTTCTCAATGGAGAAGACGAACCCAGCGGTCTACTCGGGGGTCTGTCTCGACGAAGGCAAGTATTGCGCGAATGATCCCGATGGTGCCGGGGACGTGACAGGCAAGGATGTCCTTCTTGAGGATGTGCGGCAGCTCTGTATCCATGAAACTACCAAGGTCACCAGGGCGAGTATGGAGGTTATGCAGGGGCTCAAGATTGTGGAGTATGCAGAGAAGTATTGGGACTACATGGAGAAGTATCCGCTCAAGTGCCCAGTAGATGGTTCAGGATCCAACAAGTTCGGCGAAGAGTGTTCCATCCAAGTCATGAAAGAGGTGAACATCAACCCTGACGAGATCATCCAGTGTGCGATGACGACGAGGCAGGCTTCCTTGTTTTTCAGCCTCCTATGCTCCCCCCTACAAGATCTTGAAGTTTAGGGTTTAGGGTTTAGGGTCCTAAACCGCAAGGTGGGAGAAGCTGAAGCAGCAGCTTCAGAACACAGCCTGGTCGGACCAGGCCATCAGGGTCAACGGCTGGCGTTTCAGCGGCGTCGTCACCGCAGATCTGGTGGTCCGCGCGGTCTGCTCGGGGTTCATCCACGAGCCGACCGAGTGCGCGAACCTGATCGAGTTTCGGGATGTTTTCAAGCCCTATCAGGTGGGGAGTTTCAGAAACTCAGTGGAACCCCTCCAAACAAGTTGTGGGACGGAAGGACCCGAAAAAAGAGGGGCCCCCAAGTTTCAAGAAACTCAACACAAAGCCCTAGATAAACCCTCCCTGCATTTTCGCGCCCTTGCTCGGTGAGTGAGAGAGGAGAGAGAGAGAGAGAGAGAGAGAGAGAGAGAGAGAAACAGAGAGAGAGTCTCTCTGTCTCTTTCTCTCTTCTCTTCTCTGAGAGAAAATCTCCGTGAAAGAGCCTCTCAACCCCCCCGTTTTCAAGCCTCTGAAGAAAAACTCACCCTAGCATTTGAGGGTTCATGGGGCCCCTAGGTTCCGGTGAGTACTGGCGTGAGCTTTGGGGAGTTGCTCGCCTGGCTCTTTGCCACGGTCGGCCTTGGCTTCGTCTGTATGCTCATGTACAAGAGGTACCTGTGGCTGGGCCTCTTATAAGGGCTGCTAGCAGGCTTCTAGAGGATAGGATTCTAGGGTTTTGGGGCTCAGATACTAGAGGTACCTGAAGTTGGGCCTCTTTTGCGGGTTGGGGGGGGGGGGTGGTCAGGGAATTCTCAATGTCCTAGCATCAGGCTTCGAAAGGAGAGGGTTCCAAGGTTTAGGGCTCACGTGCAAGAGGTTCCTGAAGCTAGGCTTGGGCTTGGCATTCCTGTAAGCCTCTTGGGTTTTAGTGTTGGGGGTTTGGTGCTCTTTGCGGTGTTTTGGGAGGTTCAGGCTGTATAGGGCTCATGGAATTTTTAACCAGGGCGCTAAAGCTGTTCACATGGTTTCGGTTTAGGGGACAAGCCCAGGAAGAGGGAGATGCACAGCACTCTCAGGGAAGAGGTCATGCTGGAGGTGCAGGCACAGATGGGCGACTACGCTCAACTCCGTGGCGCGTGAGGGTTGCGGGCTTAGGGTTTACACAGCTCCTCGGCAGAGTCTGGGTTCAAAGAGGGTTTACATAGTTTTACCTAAATTACCGCTGTATTACAGCGGGTTAGGGCTTAGGGTCTACATGCTGGTACTGTACCCAAATGGTACCTATAGATCGAGTTTACGGGGTTGTTTAGTGTTGAGGGTTCGGGGGCGCCTGAGCGTGGATCAGTCTCACCCCCCACGCAGATGGGGACGGAGATACCCGTTCATCTCGAGCACAGGAGAGAAGAGGTGCGGAAAACAGGGACATGAGGGGCAAAGCAGACATCCCTTTCTTCAGGCCAAGTGCGGGCCCAGTATGAAAATCTCTCACCACCCGCCCTAAATTAAACCCTAAACGAGTCCGGGAGGTGTCGTTTTTTGTCGAGGTATCGTGTTAGGCTCCCAGCGGTCCTAGAAGATAAGATGCGCGAAACCTACCTGGGCTTTGCTTGGAAAGTCATTTGTGTATTTTTGCTACAGCATAAAGTGAAAGGGGGGTACGAAGCAATGTCATGTCTAACATGTCTAAGGTGGGAAAAAACCTAAATCCTAAGCCCGTGGGAGGAAAAGAAACTTCCCAAACCGCCGGGTCTCCCGGCAAGGCTCCGAAAGGAACTGGCGGGTTCCTCGTACCGAGGCTTCAGTACATTTAGTGTCATTGTTGTTATTATTACAGTACTATTATTACTATTGCTGTTATTAGTAGTGTCATGTTATTTACATATCGGGACCTATTATTCTGTGCACCCTCCTTTGAAAGGTCCTACATTTAGGGGCTAACCGTAGATCAGGGGTCGTCCTTTGAAAGGTCCCTATATTTGGGCTACTGCAGATCAGGGGTCATCTAGCTAACAACATACACCAAACCTTCGTTTGGCCTTGGTGGAAGCAGCCCAAAATCCTGAACAAGTCGCCATGGAAGTCTTCAAAACCCTATAAATAAGGCTCTCTGGCCCTGAACCAGTGAAGCCTAGCACCTGCCTTGTGCGAGTTGCGAGAGTCGAACCGAAATTGCCCAAGCCCTTTTAATTAGGGGTTTAGAGTTTACGGCTTAGTGTATTGCAGTCCCTGCTCAGGGTTTATATTATAGAACGATAAACCCCAAAACTGAAAAAACGGGTTTGGGTTTATATTATATAACTCTAAACCCTAAAACTCAAAAAACGGGTTTGGGTTTATATTATATATCTCTAAACCCTAAAGCTCAAAAAAAACGGGTTTGGGTTTAGAAGCCTTAAACCCTAACCCTAAACCCCAAACCCCAAACCCTAAACCCCAAACCCTAAACCCTAAACCCTAAACCCCAAACCCCAAACCCTATACCCCAAACCCTAAACCCTAAACCCCAAACCCTAAACCCTAAACCCCTAAACCCCTAAACTGTGCACACACGCACGCTGAGCCACCTCGAGGTCGGCTGGGCGTGTTTCACGAA